TTTATTATCTTATTATAATTAAGTATGAACTACATAAGCAGCCTTAAAGAGTTATAAGAGGAGCTAGGTGACTTATGCCTACAATCTTTTTAAAGATTTTAAAAATTAAAGATTTCAGATGCATTCATGACCTCAACACATCAGGAGTTATGTGTTAAGGTCATGAATGCATCTGAAATCTTTAATTTTTAAAATCTTTAAAAAGATTGTAGGCATAAGTCACCTAGCTCCTCTTATAACTCTTTAAGGCTGCTTATGTAGTTCATACTTAATTATAATAAGATAATAAACTACAATACAATGGCTTTCTCTAATCTAGTTTCACTCATGATGTTCAGACAGCAATTCCTAGAATTTAGCCATTGTAGCTGGGGATTTTGAACATTGCAGGTCGAGGAAGAATTTATTAGGAATTTCATGAAAACCTGAATGCTTTAGTGTTTATTACGATAAAAATTATATGTAGTCCAGTCCAAAATCTAAAATGTCATTAACATTTTAAGATGAAGACTGAATAATAATTTGATCTAGTAAACTACTGGCCTAGAAATTTGGAGACCATGAGTTCTAGTTCTGTTTTAGCCATGAAAACCATCCGGCTGGCTTTGGGCCAGTCACTTTCTAAGGCCAACCCACCTCACAGGGTTGTTGTTGCAGGGAAAAAGAGGAGGAAGATGCAGCATGATGATTGTTTACTGCCTTGAATCACTATAAAGTAATAAAGGTGGGATAAAATTTATTATATAAATAAATGAATCTCCTTTTTCCGTACAGTGCACATACATTGAAATAGATCAAGTACCTAAGACAAATGCTGTTACACTGAGCAGACCTTCCTGGCTCTGGGGGGCTGAAATGGGAGCCAATGAACATGGAGTCTTCATTGCTAATGAAGCTGTGCTAGCCAGAGAAGCAGCCTCTGAAACTGAAGCTCTCCTAGGAATGGATCTTGTGAGGTGAGAAGCTCATTTTATGAACAAGGAATTTATGGGACTGGTCCAGAATACTAGCAGATTAAAACAATTCTTTCATTTGATATGGTGATTTTGAAAATCATACAAAACACTGGAAGTAGACAGACAGACAGACAGACAGACAGACAGACAGACAGACAGACAGACAGACAAAGCCAAATCTGGCCCTCGGTACTCCCTCAGTTTATCTTCCCAATAAGCATCTGACCTGCAAGATAATTGAAAAGCAATTTATTAGGGTACCTTGATAAAATGAGATCTTTCAATGAAAAAGGAAGGAAGTAAACCTTGAACCTATGTATGCCTCCTTTTTATAGTTAACACAACAAAGAAAATGCTAGGGGAAAGTTGATTGGACAGAGTAAAAGTAACCTCCCTTTTGCATAGGCAATCAGTTACATGTAGTCAAACCAGTAATGGTATTCTATTCTCTTCACTACCGGTTCGGTAGCATGCACAGAAGGTCCGTGATGGCGTCAGGGTGGGCGGGCATAGCCTTGCACTGCCGCCACCGGGCAAACTGGTGCGAACAGCAGCATATCACCTCTGAGTCAAACATGTTACATATTTACATCCCATAATATCATACATGTTCACTAAAATGAGGTCTGACATGATAAGGGGTATAATTGGAGGAAAAAGGTTGTTTGAAGTTCACAAAAGAAATAAACCAGACCACCCCAATTTGTACTAACAAACTTTTTCTTATCTTGAGCTAGTCTACAGCTAGTTTATCAGTTTAAGAATGTTAAAAGCTAATAAACCTGAACATCATTTTAAAATGATAAATAAATCAAATTGAAATACAAAGTATGTTAGTTAACAAATTACAAAGCCCATGTCATTTGCCCCTCAATAGAGTAAGTAAGTTCGTGCATACGTATGTACTTTTGGTAATATTATTGCATTGGTCACTCTGTTTTAAAAACAAAATATATGCAAATATAGGGATGCACATGAAGTGTATTTGAAGATTATAGATGAAGATTATATAGAAAATATAATTCTTATTTCAGACTTTATGAAGTGAAGCCCACAGTTCAACCCTGAACTAGCAATATTCTGTTCTATCAGTGTATTGTAGTATATTAGTGTTTTTTTTAAAACTCTTGGGGAAGATCTAGCAGCTAAAGCTACATATTCTCTGAGATCAACTTACGGACCCAGAAAATCCATCCATCCTCCCTCCCTCCCTCCCTCTTTCCCTCCCTTACACACATAGAAATTCATCCCTCCATTGTTTCGTCCTACATTAATAGTAATTATATTTGACATACTTTATTGTAACCCAAATTCATTATAACTCCAAACTTGTTTGCTTGTTTGTTTGTTGGATTTATATGCCACCCTTCTCCCAAATGACTCAGGGTGGCGTACAACATTTAAAAAAAACATATTACAAAAGTTAAAAAGGAAATTAAATAAANTTTAAAATTCCTTCCTTTTCCTGAGGAGACTGGTGAGGCCCCGCCTCCCCTGCCTCTAGTGAGTGCACGTCCCTGAGTGAAAGCATTATCAAAGGATGACGGTTGCAAGTACCTAGGCATATTGGAAGCAGATAACATCTTGAATGGAAAAGTCAAAGAGTCAACACAAAAGGAATACATCAGGAGGGTCTGCAAAATATTAATATCAAAGCTGAATGCTGGAAACATAATTAAAGCCATTAATACATGGGCAGTTCCAGTGATACGCTACTCAGCTGGAATCATCTACTGGACTTTGGCTGAACTGGAAAACCTGGACCGGAAAACACACAAACTTTTGAATATGAATCATGCTTTACATCCCTGAAGTGACATCGACAGGTTGTACCTGTCACAAAAAATAGGGGGCTCTTACTCAATAGTCCAAAAACAATATATTCAAGTCCAATGTTGCTCCTCAGAAAGTTCAATAATCATAGTTCTTTACATCTCAGGATTATTAATCAGTTCCATTCAAGTAGTCCAGGCAGCTTCCACAAATCAAAAGTCACTTTACTTTAATTAAGAGTCTTCCTTATTGTCACAATAGTTTCCAGTAATCATAAAGTAGATAGTTATATAACAGTAAGTATCACCACAGTCCTCCAGATGAATGTTGCTTATTTCTATTATCAGGAATTTTCCCAGGCTTGTAGGTGTATGGTATATTTTCCATTCACCAGTAGATGGTGCCCTCAGCTTAGGTTTCAGCATTGTTTCAAGTCTGATGGGTGGCCTAACCCTAACCCTAATCCAATTTTAGTTCAATTTATGGAAACAAAGTCGGCTATTCAAGTAGATACTTCCAGCATTTTATAATGCCTTCCCAAAACAATGACTATCCAGTTTAAAAATCCAATTTTCTATGTTTTAAAAGGTCTTTAACTTTTCTCCCCTTAGTTCTGGGATTTTTCTCTCTATGGTTGTTTCCTGCTTTAACAGTTCTAACAGTCTCTTTTCCTGGATTGTTTTCTTTTTTTCTTTTAAAGTTAGGGTCTAAATAAAAAAAGAATCTTCTTGTCAGGGCAGCCTCCCTCAGTAACCAAGAAAGAAAACACTCAACTCCATTTTGCAGAATTAAGAGTACTT